TTGTTAAGAGTCTAGTCCAATGATATTGAACTGTAGTGGCACAATAATTTTTTTTTATTATGTTAGAGAGAGTTGACAGCAGAGGGAGAGAAAGACAGAAACATGTATGTGAGAAAGGAACATCAATCTGCTGACTCCTGCACACCTCCTACTGGAGAGCAAGCCTGCAACCCAGTCATGTGCCCTGACCTGGAGTCCATCAGCAACCACTTGGCTCAATCAACTGAGCAATACCAGCCAGGATGCAAGAATTTTTAAAACATGTAATACATAACTATTGAGTCAGGGGCACTGATCTCTCTTAATAAAATAAAATAAAAAATAACATCTAACACAACAATAGCTGTATGATGTGAAAATTAAAAATACATTTTTCTGTCAGATTGGCAAAAAAAATACTTTTAATATTTTTTTGGTGTGCCATGGAATTTAAGTAATTAGTTTATATGTACCATAAGATGAAAAAGGTTGAAAATCGCTAGTCTAGCCTTACACTAACTAAATATCACTTCATGGGCACTCTGGAACATTGAATTGTAAGGTATTGAAATTTATTTTTTACAAGGGCATATTTTTCAAACTATACCAAGATATATTTTTCTATAAAATGGATCCCTCTGAAACAACTTTTGTACTGTTTAGAAAGTTGTTTGGTAGCTTGAATCAAGACTTGAAAATAGTCATATTCTTTGTCCCTATAATATTCCTTATGAGAATCTATTCTAAAGAAAACAATCAAATATGGGATAAAAGATTTAATGATTAGGATGTTCAGTACAACCTAATTATAGAGGGGAAAATAGAAGTGATACAAATGTCTAAGATTAGTGAGCAAATACATCTCGTTATCATTAAAAATTGTGTGCATTTCTGCCAAAACCGGTTTGGCTCAGTGGGTAGAGCATTGGCCTGCAGACTGAAAGGTCCCAGGTTCAATTCTGGTCAAGAGCATGTACCTTGGTTGCAGGCCCATCCCCAGTAGGAGGTGTGCAAGAGGCAGCTGATCGATGTTTCTCTCACATCGATGTTTCTAACTCTCTATTCTTCTCCCTTCCTCTCTATAAAATATCAATAAAATATTTTTTAAAATTGTGTGCATTTCTAAAAGTATATAAATCCCATGGAAAATTCTATACAAAGTCACATTAACAAGTTACCCAAACTTTTTTGAAATACATAAAGGCAAATAGGAAATAAGAATGGAACAGGATAACCACTGTTATTATTTTTTTATATATCTATCCTTGATGGAATCATGTATCTTATTCATTTTAAATTTTTTTCCTCGAGTGTTCTATGACCTAATGAACTATTTATTTAATTTTAAAAGTTATTGGCCAGTTTTCTTGCTCAACTACCTTTCCTTTGTACCTAACTTAAGAGCCATCTTAAAAAGGGTAGTTGTGAAGATGATAGGGAACTAAGTGGAAATCTAGCCCTTTTTTCACCTCCTCTCCACATGAGATTTTTATTTTTGCAGATATAAGTAGATATCTTGACCCCATGTCATCAAAAACAAACAATAAAAATAGTATTAATTGGAGCATTATGAGTTGCTGAATTTAAACTGTGGCTGGAATATTGTTTTCCATTTCAGGCATCATGAAGTTTCCAATGAAGGTCAGAGCTAGTGTCAGCCTTTTAAAAGTGATTGGGAGAAAATAGTCCATGTAGCTTCTTGCGGATTCTGTCAAAGGAAGGAACAAACGGAAGCAGCTTGGTGACTGACCTGCTGTGCAATCACAGAGGCAGGGACAAGCCTTGCAAGATGTTTACACAATGTTGAGCCAAAGTGATCAAAGAGGTGATCAAACTGGCCCTCAAGGAGCCAAAGCCTTTTGAAGCATCATGTTCTATGGTGCTGTGCTGAGCAGAAAGGAACCTTGCAAAAAGAAGGGGGTGAAAAAGCCAAGGGATTAGGATTTGAAAGATTCAAATCCAAGTTTCTCTGAACAATTGAGAAAATTAAAGGTGCTATGACATTCAAGTATAACTGGCTCAGAAATTTTTAGTGGATTTCTAACTAAGTGCCTGCAACTGTAGGGATGTAGAAATCCACTTTCTACTGGTCAGAAGTCAAGTATTGCTTGCTTTGGGAGCCAGGCAAACAACCTTTCTGACTCACAGGTTGTTATCTCTAAAATGGATGGAGTAATAGCACCTAACTCACAGGGCAGCTGTGAGCAGATGAATAATTTAGCACAATACATGCAATGTTTCAGAAATAAAGTGGGCATGAAGTCTTCTAAGAATCACTATTTTTATATTAATACACATTCAATCTCTCAAAAATGTAATTGCTTTAAAATTAAGAGGACACCTTTCCTTAATTTTAGCATTCTTCAGAGGAAATACAGCTACCCTTACAGCTTATTCAAGCTTTAAAGTCTTATAGAACTAACTAATAACTATTTAATTATGATAGACAATCTGCTACAAAATACAGGAGGTTATATGTCACAAAAGTTTCACTATACTAACAGTGAATAGTAAGCCCAGAATCAGACCTATTATCTTTCCCTCTCTTACCACATTTTTAACTGTGTGTGTGTGTGTGTGTGTGTGTGTGTGTATGCGTGTGCATGCTCACTCATATGTGCTAGTGCTTGCATGGGTAGGTATAATTAACTTCTTATCTTTGCTAGTTCTGTGGAGAAACTAATGCAGAAATGATGCTAAAAATCCAATGATTTTCTGAGAGAATGAGTATTTCTCAAATGTTTACATATATCCCATTTCTCCTCTTTCTCTAGAGGCATGGCATAGGTGAGGCTTAACTTGCCAAGGATATTATGGGGAGAATTTTACTTTTGGATCTTAACCTACTATTTCTGATCCCCTACTATTGGGGCCAACTCCTTTAAATGTCTTCTTCTCTCCCTAACTCACCTGACACTCAATCCTGAGGCAAACCCTCTACATCTGGCCAGATAAACTACTGGATATTGTTGAACAGGTTAAAACACTTTTATGATACACTCAGGTTCCACCTCCGCAAACACCAACTCCTGTCACAAGTGCATCAAGAGTCCCCCAAGGAAGTCAGGATAAGAGTAACTCCTACTGACTACTTTTAAGCATACGTAAGCCAAACCAGCCTCACGAATACTTCTCAGTTTGACTGTAAAAGCTGCATGGAAAAGAAATACTTTGATAAAATCACCTGTTTAAAAAAAGATTACATAATGAACAACTTTCTCACATAAACACACACACACAGACCCACACACGCGTGCGCGCGCGCGCACACACACACACACACACACACTATCCTATATAATAAAAGGCTAATGTGCAAATTTTCCCCTCAACCAGGACTTCAACTTGGAGTTTGACAGGGGGCAGGGCCAGCCAGCCAACCACCCATCGCCCCTTCCCCTGGTTGGCCCGGCCCAATCAGCCCAGATGGGGGCAGATTGGCCAGACCCCATCCACGCACAAATTTGTGCACTAAACTTCTAGTCTATAATAATAAAAGCATAACATGCTAGACCAGACAGCAAAATGACCTACTGAACGTCCTTCCAGACAACCTTTCAGATGAAGCTGGGGCTGTAACAGCTGAGCCCCTTGCATGAATTTCATGCATTGAGCCTATAGTGTGTGTGTGTGTGTGTGTGTGTGTGTGTGTGTATATATATATATATATGCCAAATTATGTTCTCTGAACGCATAATAATCTTGCCACTCAGTGTGTGTGTGTGTGTGTGTGTGTGTGTATGTGTGTGTGTGTGTGTGTGTGTGTGTGTGTGTGTATTAGAGGCCTGGTGCATGACTTCGTGCATGGTTGGAGTTCAGCCAGCCTGGCCAGTGGGAGGGGACATGGGTGATTGGCCAGCCTGCCTGCTGGTCGAACTTCTGGTGGAGGGGACAATTTGCATATTAGCCTTTTATTAAATAGGATATACACTGAGAGGCCAGATTATTATGCGTTCAGAGATCATAATAATCTGGCCACTCATTGTATATACACATACATATACGTATATGTATATACATGTTTCTTGCTCTCTAGAAGAACACCGTTCTCACTTATGCTCTCTTCATACAAAGGAAAAGTGTTTGAGTCGCTGCATCACAAGGGAGTTGAGTGAAAGCCAGCCTCAGTGGGGCCCCGCAGCTACCACCACGGCACAGTTCTGTGGTCCATATTCCCATTCCTCTGGTCTTCTCACTAGATGTTGATGTTTGTCTCTTTTCTCACAGTTTTGAGATAGGGGCATTTCCATGGCTATGCATAGCAATATGGCATTCAAAGCTGTAATATACATTTTTCTATTAAACTTGGTAAAGTCTTAATAATTTTGAAAAAGAAAAGCATGTGACTCTACACTTGTTCCATGTAATTCCTTGCTTCTTATTTAAGACAGTGGTAACCAGCCAATCAGTGTGGGCTTTACTATCCTAATGAGGTGGATGTGTGTGTTTCATAGTCATTAAGACCGTGGTACTATGACTCTTCTTTGAACCTAAAACACATAACCAGGATGCCTGTTCCTATTCTGTTTAGAAAGTGAGTATTTAATTAGTGCCATTTCTGTAAATATACCTTGTTTAAAGCTGTTACATTAGTTATATATAAACTTCAACTATACCTTTAGCAGCTAAATCACTCTTCCTTATCAGGTATCATTTATGTCTTAGTAGCATCAAAAAGAAGTGAAATGAAGTCACACCCCTTTAATTTCATCTCAGGACTCTGGAGTTAACTACATTGGTGGTGCTTATTTGTAATGTGGAGCATTATTAGAACACACACACACACACACACAATAACAACAACAACAACAACAACAACTACCAAGAAGTAAGTAAATAATGTTGTATAAGGTGGTACAAACACATCCTTATAGTCTTCTGTGTTATATTCATGGTTCAACCACACTAGAGAACTGCACTAAAACTAAGTATTACATTTTATTATTGTATTTGTTTCTTGATGGGATATACCAGTGAGATTTTTCTTCTTTTCTCTCTTTCTTTCTAAATGTTCTTGGCAGGTACAAAGCACAAAACCATGCTAGAAGCCCGGAATGGAAGCGGGACTATCAAAGCCTTTCCCAGGGCAGGTGTGAAAGGCAAAGGACCAGTTAATAAGGGAAACACAGGCCTACAAAACAAAACGTTTCACTGTGAAATCTGTGATGTGCACGTCAACTCGGAAACACAACTTAAACAGGTAGGCTGCCCATATTCTATAAATGAAAACAGGTAGGGGACATGTTCATGAGCAGGATGTCTGTGCTTGCATTACTCCTTTATATATATATATATATATATATATATATATATTTTTATTGATTTCAGAGAGGAAAGGAGAGAAAGATAGGAAAATCAATGATGAGAGAGAATCACTGATTGGCTGCCTCCTGCACCTCCTCCTACCCCTCTCCACCACTGGGTAATCGAGTCCACAACCCAGGCATGTGTCCTTGGCTGAAATTGAACCTGAGACACTTCAGTCCACAGGCCAATGCTGTATCCACTGATCCAAACAGGCTAGGGCACTCCCTTTCTTTCTATATTTTTCTACCATTTGTCCCTTTATCATCTGTCCATCCATCCATCTGTCCATCCACTTATCTTCTATTCACTGTTCTTATTTGTGTATGCTTATTTTCTTTAGTTGCTGAAGGAATACTAAAATGTAGTGGCTTCTTAGACCTTTTAGAAATTATCTGAAGTGAGTTTACACTATTTTTATAAAAGAAGAGTGGCAGGAAAGATATATTAGATCTTTTTTTTTTTTACCAGTTTACCCACTAAAAGGTGTTGATTTTATTTAAAGTTCACATTACAGTGTTCCCTTTTTACTTGCTTTGATTTTTACTGGATAATTTTATCCTGTGCTATCCTTGACTTTATGTGCTTTATTACATGGTGTTATAATAAACACCATGTAAATCCTGAAGCCACTACTAAAGAGATGACTGATCCTGTTGTATTTACTTTCACTCTGAGTAGCCTTACAAAGAGATCAGTTATGTTTCCAATTGAGTGCCAGCCCTTGTATTGTGCTGTGTTTTACATGCATGCATACAATTTATGCACCTTAGTGTATTTATCTTTAGAATTGAAGGGGATGACACTTGGCTGTACAAATATGAGGATAAATACTAGCATGGAGATAAATCCATGCCTACCTGGGCATCTTTGTTTACCTGCACATAAAATTCTTTCAGACATTCCTTCCCTTTGTAAACTTCTTTAACAAAGGAGATCTGTACAATGAAAAGGAAAAAGGCTGGGATAAAGAAGATCTTTCTACTTGTTAAAATATGTAGTATAATGGATAGCATAAAAATATATATCCTCTAGCCTTCAGAATCCAAGGACAAAAGTGCATGCTTTATTTTTTATTTATTTATTTATTTATTTATTTATTTATTTATTTATTTAATTATTTTTGTTGTCTTTTGGAAACTTGCATGAAATAATTAACATTCTTCCCCAAGTTAAACAATATTTGTAATGTGTCAGGGGTTTTTTTTCCCTATGAATTTTTAAGCTGTCATTTTTAATTGTTTTTTATAGCACATTAGCAGTAGAAGGCACAAAGACAGAGCTGCTGGAAAACCCCCGAAACCCAAGTACAGTCCTTACAACAAACTCCAGAAGGCAGCACATCCACTGGGGGTGAGTGTCATCTCTGCTTCCCAGTTTCCCAAACTTGGGGGTTTTTTTGGTCACTTACTAAATGAAATAAAAGGGAGGTACTACCTCAGTAATGACAAACAATTGACTTGAGAGTCTAACCTCTACTTCATCAACAGAATTATTGGTTTCATGTGTTGTTGGGGTGTTTTGCCCCCTTTAGCTACAGGATCTTATCTTCTTTCTTGAGTTGGGCTAAGGTTTATGACAGAGCATGGGGAAGGGAGAAAACTCTTCTGAGTCAGATAAGTAATCACCAAAACTCTGCTCTTGACCTTAGTGGATACTTTTAGGAAAAAGCGTCAGTGAAAATCAAGTTTTTGTGTAGCATCTTCAAGAGCCAGAGCATTTGTATTATTGATACCCTCAAAGTAGTTTGGATTTGGATGACACAGTCTCAGAGGCATGGCTTATTGTATGTTATTATTTATCCAAGGTCTCCATATAATGCCTGGGAAATACTACGGGAAATGCTCACTTCCCATTACTCTAAAAGTGCCTTTTAGATAAGTAAACATACTAATATTGATGTCCTGACCTGGAATTTTGGTAAGATTTTAAGGGAAATCTGTGAACTTCCTGACATCTTAGGCTAATATTTATGAGCATGTACCCCTTTTTCTAGTTAATTGGCCATAGTTTTCATAATCAGAGAGACCCAGGGCACAATGAAAAGTGAAGAACAACTGGTACATAACATGTACTGAATTGTGTGTTTTGAAGTCTGTTTTCTTTAAAAATGGACCTTATTAATATAGTTGGTCCTTGAACAACAGGGGTTTGAACAGTGCAGGTCCACTTATATGCAAATTTCAATCAATACAGTTGGCTTTCCATATCCAAGGGTTTTGCATTTATGGATTCAACCAACCTCAGTTTAAAATAGTAATTTTGAACCACAGTTGGGAATCCTTTAGATGTAAAGGACAGGGCCCACTGTGAGTAATTTTTGGGGGAGTCAAAAGTTCCACAGAGATTTCCAACAGTGCTGTGGGAGGTTGGCAACCCTAACCCCCGCACCCTCAATGTTTAAGGGTCAACTATAATTGGTGCTATTGTGTGCTGCTGACACTTCAAAATATAGTTAAAAGAAAATTTCATCTATTGTGAGACCTAAGCATGAGTTGACCCAATTAATTCGGTAGCATCGCCCATTTTTTATGAAAAATGAAGTCACTTTATTCTTTTGTGCAAAAGCAATTTAATCTGCCTTTTTATATAAAATTCTGCTCAGAGCTAATGTTTCAGCATCACTAGTCATAACCTTGAGAGCTATCTCTGACCAGCATAGATGCAGCCTTCAACAATCAAGTGAATAGTTCTTAATAAGCAATGAGATTCTGATCATGTTAGCATCCAAAACATCCTTAGCTATCATTATGTTACTCTTTCCATAAATGGGAACATTTTCTTCATGAGAACAGCCATCTTACTGGGGTGACTAGCTAGAAAATGAACTAGATTGAGAGATGTTACCATTGCACAAAGACAAAGAAAATCATGTCAAATTTTTGAGGAATTAAGTTTTTCTTTATTTCTTTTTTGGAAGGTGGAATTTTATAATTAGTATCTCACTCCTCTCTATGCTGCTCAGTTAACACACTTGAATAACTGACAGCATTAATGAATCTCTCTTAAAATGTTTGTTCCTTGATACTAAGTGGAATAAAGGGTGGAATAAAAATTCCCTATTTTTCCTCAAGATGAATATTTTCCTCAGGAAGTCTATGTATTAAGAATAATAAAATATGGTTGCTGAGTACTTTTCTAAAGGACTTTTCAAAATCTTGGCTGGGCCATTTTCAGGGTTCTTCCAGCTCTTTTAAAGGAAAGACTCACTACATTTTCCATCACCTTTATTGTCAGTTCACAATTGGGAATTTATCTTTGTCATTGTTTATTGCTATATTTGAAAAACTGCTTCCCATTTTAGATTCTAAAAACGTTTGTTTTTGTATTCTTTTCCTCTCTCTCCCTTGCAGGTAAAATTAGTATTTTCAAAAGAACCGTCAAAGCCATTGGCTCCACGAATTCTACCCAACCCACTGGCAGCTGCTGCAGCCGCTGCTGCTGTGGCAGTGAATTCCCCCTTCAGTCTCCGAACTGCCCCCGCAGCAACGCTGTTCCAGACTTCTGCACTCCCACCTGCGCTCCTGCGGCCCGCCCCAGGGCCCATTCGGACCGCCCACACTCCTGTACTGTTTGCTCCTTACTGAATTCCACAAGGGAGTCATTGTACTGCAATAATTTTTCAAAAAACAGAAAACAAAACAAACAAAAGAGAACTATGCAGTGTTTATTTATCGTTTAAAGTCTATCTGAAGAGCCAGGACTTTTGATAGTGAATCGAAAAGATTATTCAAAATAAAAGGAGGGAGTTTTGGGAGGGGTGGGAATGGAGGGGTGGTATTTTCTCCAAATGCAAGCATTCCTCTTGAACACAGATTATTTCAGAAGTGATCTCCAACATTGACTTGTGGTGGCACCTAGGACTTACGAAGCCCATGTGACTGTGCTTTTGGGCACCTGTTTCTCCCTGCATTGTCTTTTCTGCTTTATGAAACAACTATATATTGTCTAAGGGCATTAACTGGTTCCAATGTATATAGAATAATTTACTCTATAGGTTAAAACAATACAAAAAAAAAGAAAACAAAAGAAAAAACAAAAGCAACACTGTGAATAGTAGTACCCTTGCTGGTCCTCCTGCTATGACAGCAATTAGTGGGCATTTATCCCAACAAACTAGATACAGTAGATGTCTTGTAAAACAATAGTGCTGTGTCTCAGTCTATGCCACTAGGTTTTAAAGAACTGCAAAAGATAGAACGAATAACTATTTTCTGCCAGTAAGCCGTCAAAACATAAATAAGCACCTGAAGGTGTTAGTGGAGGTCTCCCTAGTCCACATTCTTCCCCTTCTGTCTAGCTCAGATATGACTTTGAGTTCAGAACCATAGAACTGAGCCAAGCAGAGTGGTGGGAAAAGATCTCAATAAAGATGATTTCTTACAAAGTACCATTTTCCCACCCTGAAGCAGTATCGCTGGAAGTAGGGATGTGTTTACAAAGAAGCTATATATCTGAGAACAGGTAAAACCATGCATCTTGGGAGTTTAAAAAGAAATCAGTGCAACTCTTCTGCTTCATGGATAAGGGACAATCATATCCTAGGATGATATCGCAAAGTAAAGATTTTCCAGTTAAAAAACACACACAGAATACTGTACCTCTGCAATATCCCTTTATATCATACCAGTAGGGTTGTCTCTTAGGCAAAGATTTCTGCTATGAATATGATGGTAGACATTAGCTATTATTGTGGGGTTTATTTTTTTTGTTTCCTACCTTTCCTACTGACATGATATAAACAATTAATATATATTTAAATGTTAGTAAAAACAAGAAAAGTGAATCGGAGCTTATTGCAGATCAAGGATATAATGTTAAACAAAATACTGGTAAGATGCACTTGGCCATCATTTCTCTAGTGGAGTTGTAAAATGCCGACAGCCTTTGATATTCACCATAAGGCTGAAAGATTTATCAGGGGTATATATAAATATATATGTAAATTGTATATATGTTAGAAAGATTAAGAGAATAACTTATAAAAAGAAAATCTATATAAAATAAATATATAACCATCCCATGTTACATGTTATCATTAAGTTGGTAACAAATGGCATAAAAATAGCTGTGCCTTTAATTTGTGATAAAGGCTATTTGCTTTTTCCCATAGAAAGCTAACATATACCTATCACGATGATGGGGTTTGATGCAGCCAGTCTGTTGCATTGATAAGAACAATGGCAGTCAATGTTAGATCAATGATTTTTTTAAAAATGTACAAATCAACCCTATGTGATTTAAGTTTAAAGAAAAAAATATTTTTGAAAAGGTTTTGTAAAGACTATTTAAAAACATACGGAAGGGCTGGGTATGGCCTTCCTGAAACCGCTCTTATCTAAACTGTAGTAGCCTTTTGAGAGGTATAAAGATTCAAGATGAAACCCTTTGAGAGAGAGGTATTTAGCATTTGTCATTTTATATTTAAGAATCACCCATAAGCGTGCTTGGTGCTCAACATTAAATATGGTCTTTGGAGTTCTTGTCTACCATCTAGCTATAGACCTTGGTCATACAAACATATCATTAAAGCAGTTGGCTTTATATATCTTTTGTTAAACAAACCAAAAAAGAAAAGGAAAAAGTAAAGAGGGTAGGAGGGTAGGCAGGAAGGAAAGAAACTATTTCATCAGTCTTTGCTAAAAAGAATTTTAAACTTGACACTGTACATCCTGGTTAAACATGTTGGTTAGCATTTAAATTTGCATTTGAGACATTTTGGTGATTATCGGCATTTACCAATATCTCTCCTCTTCAGTCTTAGCAGGTGTGTGTTTGTTCCACCCACAAACTCGGAAGAACATCAGGTGGAGAGATCCTCGTGAGTTTTTTCTTTGGGATTTTGTCTAGATCTCGTGTGACCATCTTCCCACCATATGAACTTGAGTTTCCTTTTTCTGCTATGTCAAGTGTTTTGGTTTTTCACTGTTAAGTCAGCTTGAATTCTTAGCCAACCACCTACACCTGATAAAGCCTCTCTTTCTGGTGGAGGACTTAGCGTTCATTGATGCGATCTGGCTACAATGGGCTTTAGCTGTTCCTCCCCGTTTCATCCTAGCGAAGGAGCCAGTCCACGAAAAGTCAGGGCCTGTTGCAAGAGTCCTGGATCCCAAGGTGTTACTAACTGTAATGATTTGCTGGGAACAAACAAATCAGCCATATTTTCTCCATCAGCCATATGAGAACACTCAGAAATACGTAAATCCCTTCTGCCTCACTTCGCTATGGAACCATTTTTTGTTGAAAATGGTCTCTTACATTGGCGTTGTAATCATCAGTTGTCTTTTACTCACTACCTAATAAAGGATGAAGCCTAACCTTAGAACTCAAAGCAGATTCTCTGTGAATTGTTTACTCCCGCACTCCACGTATTTATCAACATCTATTGCCCTGCAGTCTGCTATAAAGCTATACCCTTCCCCTGAGGGAACTTTCTCCATGAATAAAGATCAATAATTCAGATTGATCAGCAGCGGTGCTCAGAAAATCCCCAAGGGTGGTCAACTTTATGGTTATATATATATATGTATCCCTTCCCATGCATCACACCCGTGACAAGGAAGGGACAGAGAAAGCATCTCTGATTCCATTTGAGACAAATATAAATGCATTGCGCGAGTTACATTGCCTCTGGAAGGAGCGGGGTTGCACCTCATCCAGATCATCCAGACAAATGGGAAACAGTTGTTGGGGAGGTTCGTTCTTTCTTTTCTCTTTTAAGAAAACAGGTGATTACAAATGACAAACTGCTCCTCTCACTTGTTCTAAATGTTGAAGAGTGGTTGTTCTATTCACATAAGCAAACACAGTTGGCTTTTGGCAATTTATGTCATCACTGCCTCATCTGAAAGGATTGTGATCTTCAGGCACTCTTGGGCTCTCCCTAGTCTGTTGTAATAACTCACTGCTGTTATCACCAGGTGTGTGTGTGTGTGTGTGTATATATATATATTTGGTTTTTGAAGGGGGCTACATATTTGCTGCCAAGGAACTACTTAGCCAAGAGAGTGTTTATACTCAAAAAATTGAAAGACCAGTAAATCACAAATGATTAAAAATCAAAAGACAATACAGTTTTAAAAATGGGATTTCTCAATGTTTGTTTTTGTAGATATTCTCATGTAAGTTTCTAAAGAACAGAACCAATTAGTAGAGGTGGGAATTAAATTTCACTTACAATTACATTTTAAACTCAGATCTTGGTTTACATACCCATGTCATGTTTCAACTTTCCTAAAGAAATCAGATCACAAAACTAAAAGATGACTCTGGGAGTTTCCTTCAAACCTGAATTGGTGCATAGAACTGCCTTTCTGGTCAATAGCATGGATGGCATTATGTTAATAACCGCTTGTGTACAGTAAAGCATTAGAACGTGGTGGGGAAAACAGTGAGCTTGGAAGAAGTCAACTTCGTCTCTGACCTATAGGGGAACAAAGAGTCAACTAATGCTTTGTCCTTAATTTCTTTCTCAGTAATATGTAGGCAAGGTGAATAAAGCCTGAGCTGGCTTACTAGTTTTGCATTTAAAGGGCCACGTCTCTCCTCCTCCCAGGAGTAAAACTGCTTTCTTGTAGCGAACCATACCGCTCTTCAGATATTTGCATGCTTCCAGAAAAGTTTTCTGTATTCCTTTCCCTCCTGAGTGTCAACCTCACTGTAGGCCATTGATCTGGTTCGTCAGAATGTAGGCTTCACCAACAATGATCAGAGGAGGGGCTGTCTTACAACCAAGTCATGAAGGCTGCACTGCATCTCTTTTCTCTGTCTAGAACAGAATGAATTCTAAACAAAACAAACCCCAATGAAAGCAATAGAAGGTTGGCTGTGGGGGTGCGGAAGGGAACAACAGATTTAAACGTCTCCTCCTTATTCCTTTCCTTGTGCTTTCCCCCTACAGTACAAATGGGCACACACCCCTCCCCACCCCGCACTAATTCTGACCTGGCTTTGCAGGTGCTTTAGCTAATGGCCACCTTGTTAAGACCATGTGCTCTGAGGGTAAAGGGATTGCCCTCTCTTTGTTACAGCAAGAATTCCAGGCCTGCCTGCTCTTGTTTGCACTTAGCTTTCTTGAGCTCCACAGGTGTTGGGTGTTTTGTGTTTAAAAAAATTGAAGGCAAGACCCTCCCCCAGCAGCAGGATAAAGGCTTGCATTATCACGAGACTTGCTTTATTATGAGGGTCTGATACTGAACTCCAACTCCGAGGTGTTCCTGCAAGCGCTTCTTTGAGGTGTTCTGGAACCAAACCTGCCGTGTCTCTGAGGTATGCCTGTGTTTGAATTCAGCACTGACAGTGGGTGTTTTACGTATTGATTGCCTTTGGTTTTCATTAAAAGGGCAGGCTTATTTTTTAAGCATATCGGCTGATCTTTCTGAGGTATGCTTCAGTAACTACAGAGGCTACTATCAGGCGGTGAAATGGATCATTTATATGGCAAATCTCCATTGTCTACTTACTGTTTCTGAGAATGATATTAGGGCTTCCAGTGAAAGACAGATATGTTGATGTATCATCCTCAGGAGGCCTCTAAGGTTTTTATTTCCAGAAATGGATTTATAACTTACCAGAATTATGAATGGCG